ATGGAACGCATGGACGTTCCTAAATTCACAGCGATAATGTTCAGAACCCGCTGTCCAAATTGTGGTATCCCCGTACTGTACGAAAGCTGTGACTTCTTTTGCGCTTCGCTACAGGTAACCCATCCCAGCCGGGGCGGAGGCTCCCAACTCATTCTGAAGTTTGTGCAGAAACGACTTGGGGATAGCCAAAAGATGTACAGTCTCAACATTGCATGTCATTTTCTCTCGAGCGTTAGTTAGCTATTGATTCCCTGAATAAATAATAGTACATTAATTGAATACCACATAACAGCAGGCACACTATCGCATGTTCTCAGATACCTTACGCACCCTGAATAACGAGACAATTAATAACTAAATAATATATCTATAATATTTTAAATGAGGTGTTTGAAAATCCCACGATATTAATTCCGTGACCATGACCCACAGTTCTAACGGATGGTTAACTAGAAAAATTTAGTTTGGATACAAAAATAGGATTTTTTTCTAATTAAGGAACGAACTCGCTACAAATAACCTGCAAGATCAACTTGTTGATCGCTACATGACGACATGCTTAACCCTAGAACACTAACCATGGGCATATAGTACCCATTTTCTTATTTTTAATTACAATTTTCACGACCTGATTTTCTTACCTAAATAATGTTTTTCAGTTCCTATTAATGTTAACTCAAAGTACAAAGTTTGAAGTGCCTGCATGTAAAATATTTCAAATAAAGATTTATATTTAATATTTTTTTTTTATATTTTCAAAATCGGGTATGATATACCCATGGTTAGTAGTGGTGTAACTTTAACTGATGGTTAGTTTTCTAGGGTTAAAAATGTTGCTATTGTAAAAGCAACAAAGAAGCAGACGTAATGCAGCGCGGCAGTTAACGGTTTAGAAATTAAAATCATTATGCCTAGTTCGAATCTTAGCTAAGCCAGTATTTAATCATCATCTTTTTTTTTCATGTTCTATGACGTTTCTTGACGTGACTGATCATGTCTCTCCACAACTAACTGTCTTTTGTGGTTCTAAGTAATTGATGACCATTTACAGTCTCTTTTGTCGTTGTTCTGCTAGTCATTCACTTAAAATCCTTTATTAGATTACCCATTATTTTTCTCTGTTTCTCTTGCCTTCACTGTGCATTGTGACATTTCCCGCCATCTGTTACTTATTTTATTGTTCCTTCAGGACGTAGGAAATCATGAGCCTCCACATCTTCCTGTCCTTTGTAGCTTTCAATAATAGCTCGTCAAATGTTTTACGCGCTGCTTTCCTCTGTCCTTCTGTTACTACGGCCTAATTTGTTAAATTTCTGTACCGCTTGAATTTGACGTCCCCTGAATGTAACCCACAACTTGGAGCTGCCTCTTTTACTGACAACCAACCCTTGCCTTCTGCCACTTAGCACTCATTTCTTCTTGCTTTTGCTTGTTATCTTGATTAGGCTTTCTTTTTAGTTTACTTTCTGAGTTCTTTCTTTTTATGTGCTATGTCCTTTCCGGACGTAGTCGATTATGGCTCTCCACCACCTTCTATTCCTTTGCATCTGTCAACAAGTTCCTTCCCTCTGCTTCCTCTGCCAGACCACGTTCTGTCATCCACCTGCTCAAGCTCGCCAGGTATGTCACGTGCTGCTTTCCCTTGTCTCTCTTTTTCCATCTATTCGATCCGTGAGTATCTGATTCTCCAAGCCCTCTTTCTTCATTATGTGTCCCAGAAACTTCAGCTGTCTCAAGTATAAGCCTTCTCCTTGTTTGCAACCTCTCTAAGACCTCATCATTGCTCCCACGCTCGGCCCATGATATCCTTAGAGTCCTTCTGTAGAACCACATCTCTATCGCCTCGAGTCGCTTCATCTTTGAGGAAATCGTCCAACATTCGCTCCCATAAAGAAGGATAGAAGTCACGTAACAGCTCAGTATTCTTTTCTTTGTTACCAAAGAAATCCTCCTGTCTCGTAATACTGTTCCCAGCTTTTGGAGTTAGTCATCATATATTCGTATATCTATATTTATATATTCGCGAGGAAGTTGTCCAGTATTCACTACCAGGCATGATATTAGATATTACGTACGTGTTGTGTTACATAATCCAACATTTATTTATGTATATTTATTTGTTTATCGCATATTTATTTATTGTTGTGCATTCCGGGATGAAATCCGGTCTCAAATGAATGACAAACGCAGGAATGAAATATAGCAAATAAATGTATTGACGTAATAATACAATTGGTAATACGGTTAGTAGATCCAGAAATACGGTTAGCAGCAATAATAATATATATACAGGCTGGGAAATTCAGTATCGAAGTATGACTTCCTTCTGAGCCTACTTGCTTGTAACTGTGACTCCTACAAAGCGGTTACCTCACACTCTCACTCTCTCACTCTCTCACTTCCGGGTATTCACCGGCAGCAGTACAAGTACACACTGGGCGAGTCTACTTGTATTAAAAGGGGTGGACCTCTTAACATTTATAGATTATTATATAGCCATAATGAAAATCCTTGTGGATATGTTTGTCATTTAAAAAAAAAAATCTAATTGTAAATGACGTTTAAAGATAATTGAAGAACCTTTTTTTATAAAAACCTACAGACCGAGCACTTAACTCCCCTTGATTTGAAAGCAAATAGAATGTACTGGCTGCATTTTCAAGGTTAGGTAAGGCAATCAAATATAAAATATGAAATTACTACTGCCCCTACACCGAATAGTGCACAAACACAAAAATATATCAACAGCGGAAATTAAACACCACCAAATGATAAGGGCCAAAGAAATAGCTAAATGAGTTTGGATAATGAATACGGAGAGTTTCTGCACAACGTAAGAACGATAAAAAATACTTACAAAATGTTTCTTTTCCCTCTCATTGAAAGAAACATTTATAAAAGAAGAACCTCTGCCCAAATATGCATTATTTGATATTTATTTATTATGCATTTATGATTCAGCACGGCATTTCTAAATTAATTACGAAATCAGTGGATCTAACCAACGCCTTTATCCACTGTTCCATGTGTCCTTGGCATAGTGGATAAAGATCCAGTGACAGGACCCAAAGAGTGTGAGTTCAATACTCAGTTAAAGCAGTGGAGAACTTTCAGAGGGAAAATTAACAGGAGATAAATGATAACTGACATCTATTAAACATGGCACGTGGAACTACAACAGTCTACCCCAGTGAGCGAAATAAAAGGTTCAGTTCGACATTCCAACCACCTGAAGAAGACCGGAGCGTACAACGGCCGAAACGTTGTAATAAATATGGCGACAAAGATGAGGACAATGGTCCGAATAATGTAAATAATGTACATAATCCCTCATCTCAGAAATATAGACAGATACTGAAGGGTGATAAATATGGCGACAAAGATGAGCACAATAGTCCGAATAATGTAAATAATGTACATAATCCCTCATCTCAGAAATATAGACAGATACTGAAGGGTGATAAATATAGCGACAAAGATGAGCACAATAGTCCGAATAATGTAAATAATGTACATAATCCCTCATCTCAGAAATATAGACAGATACTGAAGGGTGATAAATATGGCGACAAAGATGAGGACAATAGTGTAAATAGTGTACATAATACCACATCTCAGAAATATAGACCGATACTGAAGGGTGATAAATATGACGACAAAGATGAGGACAATAGTCCGAATAATGTAAATAATGTACATAATACATCATCTAAGATATATAGACAGAGTTTAACAGTATTTGCGTTTTCTTTTTACAATCATCTCTGTTTTATTGTTCCCACATTCACTCTATCTGCCTTGTGAGTATCAGATTTTTCAAGCCTTCCTTTCTCATTACGTGTCCCAGAAATTTCTGCCGTCTCTTCCCGATGCTAAGTATAAGTTCCCTCTTTGTTTGTATCCTCTCCAAAACCTCATCGTTGCTCACACGTTCGGTCCATAATATCCTTAGCATCCTTCTGTTTAACTATGCTTCCGTTGTCTCGTGTCTCTTCTTCATCTTTGAGAAGACCGTCCAACATTTCCCTGGCCTGAAAACGCATACGTGTGAAGTCGCTTTATACTCGTAGATGATTCAGAATAAACTAAAGTAGAGGTCTTCTAAAAGAATTAATGTGACAAGCCTCACCGATCTTGCAGCCAGTTTTGTTATTAAGAATTTGGCTGTGTGTTTCCAGTCGCAAATTGTGGTTGGGCTATCAGCGGAGAGAGTCTTTTTACCGTTTTATGGCTACCTCGGCCATAAATTGTTTCGTTCATGTAGACAAAACAACTTTGATGTGAGTGCCGTACGCTGACTAACATATTAAAGTCCTTCCCGCAACGATTAACACATTCATACTTAAATATGCAACGGCCACACACGCACACATATTCATACAAAACTACTTTCATACATATGTACACATACACACACACATATACAGGAATATGAACACATACAGTTACGCACACACAAACATCTACGACTTTTTATTGCTAACAAAAGAAAGAAAAGTAAAAACAATTATAGCATCACTGGAATCATCCATACTTTGTCTCTTCGCCTTTCTATCCCACCCCTCTCTCTCACTCTCTCTCACAAACACACACACACATATTCTCTCTCTTTCGCTTTCCCTCCCTCTCTCTCTCTCTCTCTCACACACACATTCTCTCTCCCTTTTGCTTCCCCCTCTCTCACACACACACACATTCTCTCTCTTTCGCTTCTCCTCTCTCTCTCACACACACACATTCTCTCTCTCTTTCGCTTTCCCTCTCTCTCTCTCTCACACACACATACATTCTCTCTCTTTCGCTTTCCCCCTCTCTCTCTCACACACACATACATTCTATCTCTCTCTCTCACTATATATATATATATATATTATAGTGATTTTCCAAGCGTAGCTTAGATGTGGCACAAGGCCGAAAGTAGGGGGAACCCAGTGAGAATCGAACTCACTACTCAGTCGTAATTGTATATATATATATATATATAATTGTAATTGCATATATATATATATATATATATATATATATATATAGTGTAACCCGGATATAAGAGACCCGGATATAAGAGAAACTCAGATATAAGAGAGATTTTCTCTGGTCCCAAATTAGAGCCTGTGTTAATGTACCAAACCCGGATATAAGAAACCCGGACATAAGAGAC